CCCCTCTTCAGTGATTGGCTAGGGGAAGTGCATGGGACACAAATCTGGCCAATGGGATGGGAGGGGAGGTGTGCTGAGGGCCGCTGGAGTGGGGTGGGGGTGGGGGTCGGAAGTGTTCAATTTTCTGATAAAAACCACACCGGAAGAGGTTCTGTCTCTCTTCCTCAAGACTTAGGGCCTATCTGGGGGGATCTGCTTCATCCCCACGACCCAGAGGCCAGCTGGGGATGGCGGTGCTGGGTATGGGAGAGATCCTGGGTGTTTGCCTTGACAGAGACCAGGGTCAAGGCAACACATGGGAAGCCACTGCCTGTCTGCTGGGGTGTTGGGTGTTAACGAGGATGCTGAACAAGTTTCAATGGAGCGGACAGCCTAAGAAAGTCCTGGTCATCCACTTCCAGAACACAGCCCGTGAAAACCCTACACCATCATCAAGGTCTGAGCCCCAACCAGGGGGTGGCCCCAAGCCAGGCTTGTCTTCGGTTGGGGGCTATTTAAGAGCAGCAAACCAGAGGACGACAATGTTGCTAAAGGCAGCGCCACTTGTGAGAAACCAAAGGGTCACAGCACCCCTCTCGTACCCTCTCCTTTGTCTTAGACCAAACTTGACACAGGTTTCTCCCCGCCAACCTGCCTCTCGCCTGCCTTGCGCCCAAGCCTGAGAAAGCACAAGCATTCAAAACAAAACAAAAAACCAGGACGTTCGGGGACTTGGCTGACCACAGGGAGACGCTTTTTGTGTCAGACCCAGTGGCCATTTCCCTTCCTTGTCCAGCTTTCCGGTCCCCCAAAGACTCTGCTTAACCTTTGTGTTCCTCTCCTCACACGCCCCCTGGCCCTGCTCTCCCTGTGGAATTTTGAGCTTCATTTCTCTTTCTTTCTGCACCAGGCTCCTCCGTACCAAAGTCTGGATTTTTTTTTTCTTTGAAAGGCCAAACCCGGGTCTCCCAGCTCCGCAAGCTCCCCACCCGGCATGGGGTAGCTGGTGGGCAATCCCAGCATCCCAAGATGACAGAGGGGGCCAAACCCACAAGTCAGTGCCAGCCAGTCTGTTCCCTCTCATGGCACCCCTTGCATTGCAGGGATTTCTGGCCTCTAATCTTTACAGAAGCAGGTGGTCAGGCCTTTGAGCTATGGTCCTGCCAGGTGGATTTGAACCACCAACCCTGTGGCTAGTAGCCAAACACAGACTGTTACCATCAGAGAGGGCAAGTCCAAGAAATTACCACTTCCCCCACTCCCCTATCCCTGTAACTGTAGAGGTGAGAGGGGATGGAGCTTCAGGCCTGAGTGACCTCTGAGTCCCTCTTTGGGCTTCCTTCCCCTCCTACTCCCCCTACCCCCACCCCCACCCAGTCCACTTTGCTGACACCTGGTCACCTCTGTGCCAGTTGCCAGTGAGTTCTCAACCTGGCCCTGGTGCTGGGTGACCTTCAACAAGTGCCCTGTGCTTGCTGTACCTCTGGCTTGTGTCCCACATTTGCAAGAGGCCTCGGGGCAGGTCTCTGTACTGGGGGGTGCTGCTCCTGGTCAGACCAGGGAAGCAGTCAAGGCAGCCAGAGAGGGCCCGGGGCAGGGGTGGGGGCACACTCATTAAAGCAGGCAGCGCCTCCTACCCCTGGGGACGTCCTGCTGATTGGTTCATAATTTTCTGGGCAAATGCAGGGCCATGTGTGAAGCGGCCCTAGGGAAATCAGGCCGTGGATTGGTTTGGTGTTTGAAGCCCTCCCGTCCCCAGGGTCCCCCTGCCTCCCATCCCTCCCCACCACCATCACTCTTGCCCGAGTCTTAGCCTTCTTCAAATGTCTCTGCTTTCAAAGGGAGGCTGGCGCTCCCGAGGTGGTGCAGGCCCCACAGACAGAAGCAG